TTAAAATATTAAAAAACCTTCATTCCTATTATCATTTCAAAGAAATATGACTGGTTGCCTGACCCATTGAGCTAGCTTCCAGTCCTGCCATGATTATATTTCTGAAAAAATTAAATGATAAATGTATGTGTTTCTCAGATATTTAAATGATATACCATCTCTTTCTTTACATCGATGTTTATTTGCTGACATGGAGTGGATGCTTTAACAGATTAAATCTATAATTTACCATAGAAATCATTCAGGCTGAACATAGGCGGATTACTACGAGTTTGATTTACAAAAATTGCCTTATAAATAAATAAATAAATAAATAAATAAATAAATGAATTGTAGTCCTTGGGAAGAATACTTAATCATAAGTTAATTTAAGAAAAATATTCTGGCCAGCCAAATAGCTCAGCAGATTAAAATGCCTGCTTAGACAGACACAGCGCCTGGGGTTCGATCACCGATGTGTTAGGCTGACTCCACCCCTGGGGCACCCTGAGGTGGCAACTGGGACTGGGAGGCTGAACACAGGCAGATCACTATGAGTCCAATCTACATAATGAGACGCTGTAGACCCTGTAGACCTTCCTACAGAAAACCTACTACTATTATGGACTACTTGACTATATTGGGAGATTCTGCTGAATTCTAGCACCTACAATATTTAAATGACAATGGAATGCCCATCTCTGACAAAACTAACCAAAAAAGTGGGATACAAATGAATGATCCTTTTGTATCTGTATACTCAAAATAGGATCAATATACAGCTTAATTCAATGAATAGAGAGATTTGTTATAATATTGTTTGAGACAGGATATCATGTGTGCCTCTTGTACAATGAATAACCACTAAGACAACAATATCCAATGTAGTAATTACTGAAAATCTGCCAGTAATCGGTTGTGAAACTGTCTTATCAATGTTTCTTTCTCATTAAAATTATTAAAATAAAAAAAAAAGAGCAGCAGGTGGAGGATGGTGGAGAAGGGCTTTGCATGGAGGTTTTTCTGCTTCAAGGTTTCTGCAATTATGTCCTTTTAGCCTGGATCTTTTCACAGTTCAGCTTTTGTCATTCAACTCTCAACTCAAATACCAGTTACTCAAAGAAGCCAGGCTAACTTTGGCATCTAAAATTATTCTCATCCTGCTATATGAATTCTATCATAGTAGCTAGTAAAATTTTGTTTATGTTCATTGTTTCACCTAATTAGAATGTGACATATTAAAAGAGAGAAATTTCACCTGGCTGGCTCCTTACAGATCCTAAGAGCTGAAAATAGAGTGCATACTCAAGAAACACATAAAGAATAAATATATCAATCTTCCTTCTATCTAAAATTCTCTTACAGTGAGAGTACTGTAAGAAATAAGAGAGTATAGTGGACATTTAGGCTACAAGATCCAACTTACATCAATCACATCAGTGTGGTCAATTTTTTCTTTCCATTTAAAATTACATTTTCTAGCCTTCCATTCATGAGCGTGATGATTGGGTTTTCATGCCTTATGCATGAGATGTGCCACCCTCAAACTTTGTTACAACATGGGTACATTGCCTGTCTGACGTGAAGAGAAAAACAAATAAGATAAATAATATAAATAAAGTAAAATTACATTTTCTACAAAAAAGAAAAATGTTCTAGGTTGAAAAATCAAAATTCATCTTCACTAATTGCAGAACTTGAAATCTGAAGCCAATGTAATTTCCTGTTTCTGTATTGGACATTTCTGAGCATGGTTTCCTGTCTACATGTTAGCTAATGTTATGAAGAAGCATTGTCATCTTAGCATTTTGGGCCAGAGTGTACTTGATCTTGAAAGGTAAGACTGAGCTAACAAGTACAGTTTGCATAATAGGACATGCACATTGCCTGTAGAATTGTATCAAGATACTCACAGTGCTCAGTTATGTGACAGTAATATGATATCTAAGCAGCCCCAATCAAACTTCTGTCTTGCAACAATGTCTTTAGAATTATTGTCTAGCTCTTATTTTATTTTTATTTGTTTTTTATTTTAAAGAGAAAAAAATAACAAAGACAAACACAAAGCAACATAGAACAATAAAAATGGTACAGCATTTAAACACAAGAACAGAAAATTAACAATGGTTGTTATGTTACATATTGCAGCTCACATTACCAGGTATAAGCATGCAAGTTTGATCAAGCAATTAAACATTAACTCTTCCTTTCACTGAACCTTAATTTTTTCTTTATTCTTTTAATTTTTTAAAAAAGCCTATTTCATTTTATTTTCTTCTCATTAACTTTATTGAAAATCAATAATTATATAACACATTAAAAATTGTAGGAAAATATTGAAGTGTGAAATATATGAGATGTAGATAGAGTGAATTTTAGAGAAATATTTCTGAAATGAACATATAGCATGAGATTAATAATAGATTGCACATTGTACATAAATTATTTACAAACTTAAATGAAAAAACAATAAAAATTGTCTGAAATGAAAATGAAGAAAGAATTTACAGATCGGTCATAGTTCACTGTGCCAAAATCAAGAAACTTATATTCATATAATTAGAATTCTTGAAGTAGAGAGGTGTGGGCAATAAATATTTAATGATTTAAAATTTCTGAATTTAGTTGAAATTATAGCACCATAATTCCAAGAAAAATTAACCCTTTGCACACGAAATTTGAATAAAATCATACCAAGATACACAAAAATGAAATTGTCCAAAACTAATTGTAAATAAAAAAATCATTAAAACATATGCATAAAAATAGCTAGTTTTTAGAACAAAATTAAATAGCATCCTATTCCACATTAGAAAAAAAGAGCAAATGTATAAGAAAGTAGACTAATTCAAAAGATTAAATAAAAAAGATCTGTCCTCATTGAATTTTATGCTTAGGAAATATACCTTTGAAAACTAAAAGTAAAATATTTTCCAATCATACAAACTT